CAGGGCCAAACCATCACAGCAAGACCTACTGTGAAGAAATCGACGAAATGTACCGAAAATTTTGTCAGCTGCAGCCAATTATCAAAAGAAAGGGTCCGATTCTTTTGCATGACAACGCCCGCCCACGTTACAAATCACTATCCATAAATTGAACGAATTGGGGGTTGAAGTTCTACCTCAACCGCCATATTCTTCAGACCTTTCGCCAACCGACTATCACCTTTTCAAACATTTTCAGAACTCCCTTGCTGGAAAATACTTCAGACCAGGCAAAAAAGCCTTCGTGGATTTCGTGATTCTCGACCACCCAGTTTTTTCTTTGATGGGATTTCTCGACTGCTGTCACATTGGCAAAAGTGTGCTGATTCGAACGGTGCTTGTTTCGATTGAATCCGATGAGTATTAAGAAAGTTATGATCGTTTAAAGTGAAACACTCAAAACGCTGAGAACTTTCCGGACAACCTAATAGTTTGTGTTAATTAACAGGCCATACTTCGGTGAGACTTGTAACTCTTGTGAAGTTGCGAAATGATATAAGTGAGGCACTTTGGCCGCAGAAGTTCACAAATCTTCGCAAGTAGCCTGAGCTAGTCTCGTGAAAGAACATTTGGTGCCCATCAAGCCCAACTGCCCAAATGCTCCAGAAAAAAATCATTTTAAAGTTCTAGCAAGAACTCACGTAGGCTCCATAGGAGGCGTATTCGACTTGGATCGAGCCACCATTCATACAGACAAACTCAAATCGACTCGATGCGCATGAGATATTCTGCGCTGGCGATACTTAATCGATATATTGATTTTTGAAACTAACCGGGCATTCCCTCACAGAAACGGTTTCCGTCTGTTGATTAATTTTGCACTGTTGGAAATGTAGTGGCCATCGCAGAGCGACTAAAGGCCGATGAATAAAACAACTAGACATGCGGTTGCGCAGCTGTCTCCTTCAAAGGCACATTTCATGACTGGTAGTCGTGTACAATGGGATTCTAACACGGGTCTGTAAATGCTCGTTGGCACGTCAAAAAGCGGAAGAAAATGCCAAGAAGAACGAAATAAGGCTTCTAGTTTTTCAGTAGGATTTTAGAAGAGAGCGAGTGTGAGGTAAAGGAACACTGTGCACGTAAAAGTGAAAACAGGCAATGAGGGGGAGAGCGCTCCTAGATGAGTGGAACCGCACCGCTCTACAGCCCGTTTGTCTCAACTAGGGGTTTGACTATCGCGGTAGGCGGAGATTTCCAAGTCTGCTAACTGTAGTCCCGCAGAATTTTAAATGCCTTGGGTGCTCTGCAACGCGAGGAGGCCCAGATGCTTTCAACACCAGCTCAAACTGATGGCAGCCTACTGCAGCCACAAACCTGTCCACTTTTGAAATAGAGAAGGTTCTAATCCTTCTCAAGTGATAGCGGAATGTGCCACGAAAGAAAAATCGACTGCTTCGCTACCGCACAACGAACTGTCATACACATATCAGAATCTGTTTCTGCCTTTTAGTTTAGATCTTACCCACCTCCTGTGAACGTTTCGCACCGCACTCCGCCATAATTCGGTTGACAAAGGCATTGTGGCAGGACATATTGCGAAGCAGCTGTAAAAATCGGTGAAGAATAACACCAGAGTAAAAAGAATGTGAAGGAAAAGTCAGGCGGCTGGGTGTAAGTCCGCCGCAGTCTACGCTGGTTGTATTGGCAGGAACACTCCTACCACTATGCCTGCCTCATTGAGGTGCTCCTCCTTTTCGAAACGAGCAAATAAGAGAGGTATGCTCACAAGGCACAATGGTGGGCCGACTCCGCCCATGCGTCCATCAAAGACTGTGCCTTTCAGCAGAGTCGCTCTTGCAACCACCTAGCTTTGCTGATCAGAGTTAGGAAAACCTTAAGAAATATTCGTGCCAAATGATAGCCTACCTTTATCGACTGCTTTTCTTTTGCAGACAACGTAGTTGAGCGCATCACAGGACTCTGACATCCAATTCCGGAACATTGACTCTTGTTGAAGCGATGCACAAACCTCTGAAGAAAGCAAGACGACTTTTTCACGCTTTCATGGCACACAGTGAAACAGTTATCGATTTTGCGCGCGTAATATAGCTGTATATAGTGCAGCTATATATAGCCTTTGGCAATCCGGTGAGGAAGGCTCAAGAATCAATGTCCAGTAGATGGAAAACTGCCTTTACCGTCGTAATTCGGATATATATTCGGCTCTCCAACTTGCCAGAACTGCTTTTTAAGCACGTATGAGCCCGGAAAGGATACCCATGCCGGCTCTGAACCATTTGGGACTGATCGTACAGACGTCCACACACCAGTGACTGGTGGTCCTGAAAACAATTACAATTATGCAGTCACTTCGCTGCCAGTCGAGAGATTCACGTTGAGGCGCTGCGCGCAAAGGCAACGTTCCTTAGCTCGTTCACTAGGCAGCGTTCATACTCCGCGATGGCACTGCAACAGCGCTCCGAATACTCTCCAAACACTAGACCAGCGCCGATCGATACCTGACTGCTGCTGCGTTCCCGCTATAGCATTCAGCACCATTGCCGTGGTAGCACGTCGACGCGCCCTACAGCGCCATACAGCGCATCATCGCGAAGTCTGAACGCCGCCATCTCAGTAAATCGAAGTTCCCGGTGCGGATTGCGTGCGTGTGACGCTGCTCCGCAAGCCTTTTTGTAGCGTCATCGCAACATGAATTTCACTGAGCTCTTTGACATACAGCTACTCATCTTCCAAATCCGTTATAAGGCCCCGATGCATCATACGGTTCCTCGGAGTGGAACACTAATATCTCTCAATGGAATCAGCCTACCTTGTGGAGGTACTGCAGACAAAACGCCCTGGATATAACCAGCGTAAAACGTCTGATCGTCATCGGATTCGGTCAATGCCATCACTTTCTCTTGGTCGTTGCAGTATCGGGCAGCCTAAATCGATAATGGACTAATGCTTTGGGTTGTTGCAAAATCGAGCAGCGAATCGATAATCGATTGCTTTAGCGACTGCTGTAATATCGCGAAGGCCAAATCAATAAGGTTGACGCATATGAATATCTAGCTCAGCTTTCCACCTTTGCAACTTGATAATCGACTGGATAATTTGTAAAGGGTGTAAAATTGCTGCCTATTTTGTACAGGCGTTATCCATGCAAACGAGAGGACGTGTGAAGGGATGCTAATTGGAGCGCAGTCAGGGCAGAGTTTTCCACCAATTGTCGTGGGCTCAGAATGATATCAATGGTGGAAAAGCCGCAGCCGCCACGCTGCGCTCTGCTCTACACCCCCTCATAGCCCGCTAATTTTCAGGAGTAACAACTTCTGATATTCCGGTCTTCTTCGATGGCCGTTTCTTCTCGCTAAATCGACCTGTACCTTCCTTTGGCTCCTTAAATCCCTGTAGTTTACTTGACAGAGACGGGTGAGAGAGTCAAAAGTGAGAGAGACCTGTGTGTACAGCTTAAGGTCTCTCCTACTGGATGATCGCTCAAAAAATGAGGCAGCGACTTAGAAAGAGAACCGGTTCTATGCACTCCCACCGGAGTGATTTCAAGCATCTTTAGAGGAAAATTAGAGCGACGATAAGCTTAATTTCGTGCTGAAAGACTTCTGTAAGATAGCAACCTTCCCTTGCGAAGGGCAATGAGGTCGGAGGCACGTGCCTGAAAAAGCGCGCACTCTTTCCAATCTTTCCAAGTGGATAAGGGCCGGAAAACGCCGATGTGAGGGATATGATGACTCATAATGGAGCTCTGCAAATTATGGACTTGGAGGCATACGGGGGTAGGGTTTAAGACAAGCAACAGGGCACAAGAAGCATTTCCTCAGTAATGTTCACTCTCAGTTGGAAGCGTCTGGCGCGCGCCTTTCGAGCAATGAATGCTTGGGATGGGGGCTGCCTTCAGGAGTAACTGTGTCGCTTCCTTCTTTGACTGTCAGTGACGTTGTCCTGCAACGTGCCTAAGAAGCCCGAGAAAAGTTTATGCTACTTCCCTGTTCGCAAGCAGTTGTGAGCAGGAAATGTGCTCGCAACCACTTGAAAGCGATTGCGCTGACTATCTCGCAGACAAGCAGACATGACGTGGAATGGTCGCGCTCCGTGTGACTCCCCATCGGCCACCTTGATCCCGCTAGTTTCATCCTTAATAAGTGAAAGGCCTACGTGAAACATTGAGGGGTATTCATTGTTTCCTGGTAAGTGGAACCTTTACGCTGCAGACGCTGGTGCGTGCCAGTGGGACTGGGTATGGCACATTGCCAGCCCATTTTGCACCAATTGTTGAACCTTGCCCGTCTCAACAGCTAGCACCTGCTGACACGCCCCAGCGTATGCAACGAAAACGGCAAGGAATATCCTGACGGCCATCCGTGTTGAATCAACTACTGCTAGGATAAGGCTCTTGGTAGGATTTGAAGCATTCAAGAGACGAACAAAGCACTTACATCATTCCATTTCATCGGTTTGCCATTGAACGAGTAACAATAGCCCATGTGATAGACTTCGTCATCATCGCAGAGTTTTCCAGCGGGAAGTTCTGAAAACGTCACTCTTTTCAGAAATAGACAGACCGAATTATGATAATTACTGAGTAATGAATAGACCTGCAAATTGTAATAATTTCCTTTAAAAAAATAGTTCCAAGAGGAGAGTACTCCAAGAGGAAAAGTGACATGTTGTGGGCAGGTTAGGGAAAAAGTAGGTAATTGTTTAATATATCGTTCATACTTTGCTCACAAACGCAATCACAAACTTAGCGCAGGTACATAAGAAATCAGTTAGGACTGATCGCAATTTTCGCTTAAAGACAAACTTCGCGTCTGTCCAGCGAAACATTTGCTAGCGGGGTCAAGACCAAAAGTATATGTGATAGGTGACTTGCTGGTGAAGAAGAAAGGAGGGAAACGCTCCAAGTAAGACCCCACTCGTCGTCAATGTGGATGTCAGGCGAGAGGTCAGAGAAAGTAGCGAGAGAGCATACAAACGAGCAAGACAGCAGATGAGACATCTACCGAAGTAGGCGGAGTCACTTAAAGGCAGTTGGCACGATAAATCCCCCAAGACGACTAGGATCAATACTCCTGGCAGGATAGAATTCCGCGACCCTGGGCAGGCGCTGCATAGCGGTTTCCCCGAGGAAGGTGCCCTTATAAGGGCCCTATCAAGCCACAACTTTACGTCCCAAACGCCCGCCCACAAATGGACGACCGTTCCTGACGCTCGTATTCATTCATTTGCTAAGCAAATTATGAAGCGAAGGGATTGGTATGAAGCGGCCGTGATGCTGCATGCATATGGGTACACATATGCAGCCGTATCTTCGGTAGCGGTGATTGG